ACCTATGTACGTTCGTTTTTGAATGTTACCCGAAACGAGGAGAAGCTCATTTTAGCGAAAAATATGGAATATGAAAAGTAATAATTAGATGCTTAGCAATATAGACATGTCTATATTTCCTCGTTTTAAAAACTCGGAGTTTTGTCTGATGAATGGCATATGAATGTATTAAAAGTATAGAACGGATGAGGAGCGCAATTTAACAATATCCACTACATTTAAATCGAATATTAAAAACTTGGGGAGGGGTTAGTGGGGAAAAGAGAGAATGAAAATTAATTTTTCGTCGAGCACATGTCGGCGTACCGCGATGGATGTGAATTTTATGCGGAATCAGCGGGTGAAAAAAATAGTCCGTGAGAGTTATAATTTTTATATTTGTCTACGCTTTAATATACTTTGATTTACATTCGTGAAACCTGTGCATTCGCATATTAACTCGATCGGAATATATAAAAAAAAAATTTTTTTTAATTTAAATTACACGCAAAAAAAGATAAGTGCAATTGAGAAATATTTTGTTACCTATTATTGTATTAAATAAAGAACACAGAGAAAGAGATATATATGTATATAACAATTTTTTACGGAGTTTACTTTTTTTTTGGGGGGGGGGATAATTTTTTTGGGAGGAGTCTACCGCATTGATTTACCGTTCGTACGCCACATGCGAGTTTCAGTCACCGAACTGGGAAGGAGGATCCTTGTTCTCGATTTATCGGGGTCATAGATATCGATAAGACGCGATCCGCGACAAGAGTAACAACGCCCCGAGGTCGTGCGGTCGCGAAAGTAACGCGATCAGATTCGATTTGACTAACGGCTCCTCGGCGGCATTGCCAGAATTTACAGAATACGTGTGATATATAAGCGTGCACACGGGGGACACGGAGTATCATTTCGATTTATGACAGCTAATCTTCATTCTTGCTCTGTTATCGGATCTTTTTGAAAATTAAACAACAGATAAATGGACGGTGATTTCCACGGCAAAAAGCTATAGATGACGAAATTTTCGCGTATTTAAACGAAATGTTTATAGAGTTTAAACATATTTTTTTATCGTAAACAAGACTAACTTGTAGCTGTTAATTTTATGGTTTTGTAGAGATATTTATCTATATTGTCCCGCGCGCGCGGAACAACGTTAATAATTTATATGAATATTTCAGTCACTTGTCATACGTTATATAAAAATGGAAAAAACACATATTATACATATATATGCTTTTTTATTTTAACATAAATGCGTAATATTCTTTACAGTATTTTTGTCACATTTTTTTCAATATGATACTGCATCATCTCTCACATTAAATGTATATTTTTCTCACTATAATGGTACTCGTAATATGGCGCAATATACATATGGACAGTGTATTAAATTTTTTTTTGTCCAGTCACGAATGGCAATATGAAATAATTTGATAGGAAAGAATAACGATGCATATCGTCGAATAATCCTGACTAAGGAAGACTAATTTTTTTTTTGTTTGCCGTGAACGTCCGTCGAAATTCCGCGATGGACCAATGGATAAAAACTCGTTTCATGAATTTTTATGAACTCTAGCTGTGCGGTAACGTAAAACGGCCAGAGTCGTCACGTTGAAAACACGGAGCATGCGGGAAAGATAGTTGTCCGTCTCGTTTCTATTTCACGTATCGCGACAATTTCGAGGATCGCCGATGTGGAAAATGAGTTTCCGTGCTACCAAAAGTGACGCCGCACTCTAGACTCACATTCGGGGAAAGTCGAAAGAAATACGGATCGGGACGGTGCGCTTCGGTTACTTTGTACGTATTATCGTCGAGAACGTGTCTCTCTCTCTTTGTCTCTCTTTTTTTTCTCTCTTTTTCTTTCGCTCGTTTTTTATTTATCTCGCGACGTTTTTCTAGAGAGACAGAAAGCCCTGGAGAGAGAAAAGGAGGAAAAGAGAGAAGACGAGCAAGCGCGTAGGCAGAGGAGACCGAGCATTAAAACTTTGAAAATAACAGAGTTTCTTTTAGTGTTTCGGGAGCTTTACCAAAGAGCCCGCGGGAGCGAGATACAAGCTCGCGTGCTGCTGGGGATTTGCCGCAGAAGAAAATCCGAGTTTGCAGATATTAACCCGCTGTTTTTACTACTTGGTCTGTTGTGGTCTTGTAATCACGCTTCGTAATCACGCAGCTTTGCGACGAAATTCTTGACACGATTGTGCGATTTTTCGCACCAAAAAGACTATTGCTCTCTGAAAGAAGCAACTCGTGTAATCATGTTTCGTATTTACATACATAAAATGAGTCATGCACAAAGCGTTACAAATCGATATTTTCAAAGATATTTATTATCTTTGAGAATCTTTATATATATAAAAATTGTAGAACTTTGAAAGAAATATTAATTAATGTTTAATTTTGAGATGTCGCCAGTAAATAAATTAAAGGAGTGTTTGTATATATCCGACCCAACTGGCAATTTATTGTTTGATTGTGATCACAACGTTTCGACCATATGGTTTTGGTCCTTATCAAGTGAACTGCGTTATAGTTAGAGTTGAAAGAGAAAAAGTCGCTATGTCATAATGACACTGTGTCAACCTCTCTGTTTAAGATACTGAGAAAGACTAAACGACCTTTATTAATCTATCGTATATGTTATTTAAATTCTCTGTATCCTTTTGAGAGTTAATAGTGTTGTCATATTTTTTAATAAAAAACATTTCAGCTATTTCTCTCTTTCTTACATGTTTTTCAGTATGCAGAATATCAGGCGTTGACCAATCGAAGTCATGATCAAATTCTAATTTGTGTTTACTAATTACGGAAAGATTACTTGCGTGCATTTTTATGTTATTAAAATGTTCTTTCACGCGGGTACTTAAATGTCTTTTCGTTTGACCAATATATGAAGCGCTACAGTCCTTGCAATTTATTTTATAAACGACTTCCGTTCTATTGCTAATAGGCAGTCCATCTTTACCACGTTTAATCAATGAGTTTAATTTTTTAGGTATATTGTAGACAACAGTAACAATAATTAATAACAAATATTAATATTGTTAGTTAAATATATTTAAATAAATTAAAATAACAATTTAAATTAAATTAAGAAATAGAAAGGAATTTAAATAAATATTGAATTTATTTAAAATTAAACAAAAATTTATTTAAAAGATTTTCGTAAAAGTTACATAATTTCTAATTATTATAAAATCTTTCATACATTCCCACAGATAAGTGCATTATTTGAATATCATAAAGATGATATTATATATAATCGCAAATAAAACATTTTGTACTATTTTAGGGTTTATATTCAAAGATTTTAGGACGTTTATATATATATGTTTGATTTTTGCCAAAATTTATTCGACATTATGTCAAAAATAAAACTCATAGTTGATTAGAATTTACGTGATATTATTATACATATTATGTAATAGTGATCCTAAAAAGTAGCAATATCTTTCAGCAGAAGTGTTTTCTCATCGCATAGGGATTCCCGTTCTTATTGATAATCCTCTCAATATTTTGAACTTTTCATAGTTGATCATCAGTCTTCTATAATTTGTTATTGTAAATAGCAATTCTAATTCTAATCCGAATTTAATTAAAGAATTAAATTGCTTAACATTTTTCAATTACATATTTCTTTAAAGATTATAATAAATTCCTTTTTCTAGAAGTAAAATAATCAAACTAAATTTTTAAGTATTTTAAATATAATAAATAAATAAATATAATAAAGAAATGTAAACATAAAAATAAACATTTTAAAAATCAAATTTTTATAGATTTTTCTTTATGCGATTTACCTTAAATTGTATTGAATTGAATATATTTTTATGAAATTCAATTAATTAACATAATTATGGAGGTGCACTCTTCGATAATAAAATTTTTAAAAGTTAAATAATACTAATCATAAAAATGCAAGAAAGTTGAGCTGCTACAAATTACCTTTGATTTGAGCTTTACATAAAGTGTGCCTTATTTCTGCTGCTTTGCTTTCTAATATCATTACTCGCTTGAATAACAATAATAATAGCTTTTAATATTAATTATTTTATTTTTTTGATTACTGATACTATTAAATTTGTGTACAATAATCTTTATGTGCATTCAGTGCGCACTAGTGCATGCAATCTAAGTATGTCAGTAGATTTCGTTTTATGTCTTTTAGCATTCTGTCGACATCATCAAATATATCAGATCCTATCAAATTTGTTGTCTTTTTGCTTTCAAAACTTGTAATAGACACTTTACAAAATTTGTTTTTAACAGATTTAACTATTTAGGTTATATATAAATAAAATAGAATCATTTTTACAAAAAAATACGTCTGCATATATTGTAAAAAAAAGCAACCAGATATATTTGAAAAATACATTTAAAAAGTACAGATATATAGATAAATAATACAGCTAAGCTGTAATAATACATAAATAATACAGAGAAAATATAATAGAGGGAAAATAAGCAGTACAAAAAAATCATTTTTATTACAAAAATTATTTATAAAACAATACTTTAAAATAATAATATTAATTTGTTGTAAGATATAAATTGTGTAAATTAATACATTAAACGATAAAATCGATGTATTTACTCATAAAACTAACTTTGTTTTGTGTTGTTTTTTTGGTTTTTTTCTTTAAATTCTTATTTCTAGATTCTATCAAATATTCCTACTGATTATCATATTATATATGTTAAATTTATTTAAATAATATTTGCATAATTTTGTTTTTTATATTTATCATGAAAATAATTGAAAATAATTAAAAGAAGAAAATATAAAATAATACTAATATTGCAAAGAATAGTTGTAAATAATATTATTAATATTGCAACAAGACATATTAAACGAAAGCAAATATTGCGATAATAAACTTAAAATAAATATAATAAACACAAGGTAAACTTATCACAAAACAAACAGGCATAATAAACACAAAATCATTTTCAATCTTTCAAACTTAATGAACAAAACAGGCATAATAAACAAATGAAAGTAATTATCAATCTTTCAAACTTAATACAACATAGGGTGTGTTCCGATATACACTGCCAGTACTGGCAGTGCTGAAAAATTGTTCCGTTATTAGCACGCAGTGTGCTGCGACAGCATCTAGTTCCATCAATGACGTCATAAATGGTAGCCATATTGCTACTGCGGTTACTGCAGCTCCCAAGATGAAGCAGTTACAGTGCAACATGGCGTCGTGCAATAAAATAGAATTGCACTATAATTACTGCAAAGTCGTTCCGAAATATAAAATCATAATGCTACTGACAGTGCCAAAGTAATTTCGGAACGTTGCGGCAGTGAACTGTTATGACGTCATGGATGGTTGTAACGCCGGCAAAAAGGGAACACACCCATAATTATCTTCATCAATTGAACAAATAATTAAAAAAATAAAACGAATCGAATAATAAAAGTAAATTTCTTAATTATTTGTTATTTTTCTTTATTTGATTATTCACCCATGTCTTAATTGCTGCAGGATTTCTGTTAAAAATACCGGGATTCGAATCCTTTAATTTTTGAATTTCTTTCAGAGAAGGTAAAATTTTTGAAATAATATGCTGTTTGAATGTTGTGTATGCAATATTTTTTTCTTCTGCAGTCCAACGTTGTCGAACACATTTTCCAAATGGAGATGCTAATAATAAAAACAATATTTATAACCAATATGCCATATGATTTGTTCTATAAGTGCAGGAATTTACATTCATTAATTTTTGAATTTCTTTGAGATAGTAAGTAATGTCTTTAAAGTGATATGTTGTTTGAATGCTATAAACAATTAAACTTACTTGATCGTTTTTTTTTATTCTTATGATTCACTTGTGAAAATGATAGTGAAGATTCGTTTCCTAAAGAATTTTGTTCTGTATTATTTTCACTTGTATTAGATTCTTCAAGATTCAATGAATCTGTAAAAACAAAGTACACGAAGCATTAAAATATAATATTAATAATATTATTATTTTTCTTTAAATTCCAAATTTGTTTGTATCACAATATAAATCAAATTTTTCTGACTGTAATTGTTTAGACTAACAATAAAGATTGATTTAGTTTAAAGTGCAACTCGTATTTTAAAATAAAAAATTTGTATAGTAACGATTAAATATTTAAAATATATTGTAACATTAAAAACTGTATTTGAAGGAAAACAGTTTGTATAAAGAGCAATTATTAATTATGATATAAAATATAAGTATTTTTTAATATGGATTTTGCACTAACACATTGACAATTTAGACAAAATAAAAACTTACCATTAAATTTTCGCTTATTCGTATTAATAGATTGCTTTTCAGACTCTTGTATAGAATTACTATCATCTATAAAAAAATCAAAATAGATTATAATTTTTGAACTTTAACAATTTAGCTTTAATTGTGTTTTTAGTTATAATTATACATTCTGCTTTACTTTATTTTGCTTACAAATACTTATAATAGTTATTAATTATAACTAACGTTGATAAATTAATTTTTAAAACAAACAAAGAGAAACAAAATAAACTTACGCGAAAGTATACTTTGATGAAAATTATTTTGCTCTATGTCATCTTCCTCTATTTTCTCATCACTGTCTTTTCCATGTACAATTTCTAATAATTTAGATACTTGAAATATTTCTCTAGTTAAAATGGGCTGCCGATAATGCTCTTTGTGTATTTTATCTGCATGACCCATAAAATTAGCCAAATCGGAAACTTCGTAATCTTTTAAATTTAAATTAGTGCACATTGTAGCTATGTGTTTTCTTAAATTAGTTCCTTGCAACCTATCTGGATTTAATGCTCCGCATTCCATTGAATATTTTCTCATAAGATCACATGCTCTTAAATAACGATAGTCTCCCTTTATTATGCCAGGTATTCCGAAAAGATATGGGTTTTTTAGATGAACATTGGCAGTTTTACGATGGCTTAGAAGTAATAGTAAATTTTCTAGCATTTGTTTATGAAGTAAAACCGGTACAGTGCGGCCTAATTTTCCTCTCATAGTATATCGAACATATTTCTTTGCTGCTTTTTTTTCATCGTTGCTAAGCGATAGGTAAGATGTACCTATTGTATTTTCATTCACTGATTCATAATTCTGAAAATCTTCAATTAAAGCACGTTCGATTTCTCCTGGCCTACGTCGGTTAAATAACTAAATTGACAACAAACAACTTTCTGCCAATGTTTTCCACACATTTAAAGAAAATGCTTGCTTTAATAAATCGTAAGATGTTTTTAGAGTATCATTTAAATAAGTCTCTAATTTTTTAATATCATCTTGAGTTGGTAATAATTTTCTTGAGTATCTTTTCCTTCGATGCTGAGTTTCAATAGCTGTTCGAGCAATAGAAAAAGAATAATCTTCTGTTAACAGATTTAAAAATTGTTCTGCAAGTTCTCGTTTTTCTTTATCGTGTCTCTTTATCATTATTGTAATGCACCGCTTCCAAAGTTGTTTGAGTAAAGTACCCAAAGATGTTGCCACTGATAGAGTTTTAAAGCCAGTTCCTGATTCATTTAAACCTGCTAAGGTTCTAACAGCTTTGAGACAATTATCATAATTATTTGGTACAAAAATTGTAAAGGGATCATCGATTTTGTCATTTTGATTCTTCATTTCAAGAAGTAGACGACCAATCAAACGCAATTTTTGTCGAATCATATCATAAAAGTGAGGATCTTGAAATTTTTCACATAATTTGTTTGCATAATTAATAGCCAATTCATCATATCTTATAACTCTTGAAACATTATCATTTCTTAATGTTGGAAAAACGCGTTGTCGGAGAATTTTACACGCAGATTCGTGGATTCGACCTGTAATTTTTGTTGATTTGGCTAATATAGTTCTATTATTTGTAGAATTTTGTTTACTGCATCTTCTATAATGATGTCGAATGGCTGATTTGAAATAATTACCCTTGCATTGCGAGCATATAGAAAAATCACTAACATTTTTATTATATTTAGGACGACGCATAACTTTCAATTCACCTGTATTGATATTTGAATTGGTATTAAAAAGATAATGTCCATTTTTACGAATTTTTTAAATCAAAATTCTACGCTCTGGTCGTCCCTTAGGAATATAAAAGATGTCTTTTACTTCCTTTACATTTCTATGTTTTCTGCTAAGGTGACGACTCAACTTGGATTGTTCCGTTTGGCAATAAATACAAAAATCTTTCTTATTTCCAGATTCCACAGTTTTTACAAACATATTTGTGTCGTCTGGTGCATTATGTCCAAGCGAAAGTGACATTTCTAGAGTTGTATTTTTTGATGTTTTAAGTAAATTTTGATTTTCATCTTTCATCAAAGTTTTCGAATTATTTTTGTCTTCTATACTGTTTTCAGAAATATCTGAATCAGGCACATAAGATGAATCATTTGATTCACTGATTGAATTAGTATGACTTATTGTATCTTCGTCTTTTGCAATAAGAAATAATATATTTATTATTATTCTTAACATAAAAAAAGAGATATCTTCAATATATATAATAATGTTTTATTTTCTAAAATGTAGTAATGTGTAAAAATGTCAAAATTACTATTACAAATTATAACATTGTCTAATTGGTTGTAATAATGAGTTTGTTGTTAATATAAAATTGCATGTTTAATATAAAATTATTGTACCTTTTTCTTGTATGTTTTTTAAATTAAAACGAGGTGGTAATGATACATCTGTAACGATGCATTCCCCCATCGTTACTAGACCGTACCCGGCCGCCGATCCGCCGGAAGTCCGCCGCCCGACGAACACCGGTCGGGCAAATGCGGAGGCGCTGAGCGCCCATTTTTAAATAATATCAGAAACGCGTAAACATATAACCGCCGTTAGGCGCGCGAAAACATCGAGAGCCGACGACGCGCTCGGGTAACCGCCCGACCCGCCCGACCGATACCCGAGTCGCGCGCGCCGGTTCAACGATAAACCAGATACCGTTAGAACAATAGGCGAATTACGCAGACGCGCGCGCCGCGCGCGCCGATAAATAGAGCGCGTTTCTGAACATCGGGACCAGATCTCCCGCACCGCCAGAGTCTGTAAGACGCCTGGAAACCGCCTAGATCCTAAAGCGCTCAGAGAGAGAGAAAACGGGGTTGGGTGTACTCAGCCTCCGCCGAGAGTTTGCGGCATCTCCGAGAGCGATCCGTCCGAAACCTTTAAAGAGAGGCAAACGGGAACGGGCGTACTCGTCCCCGTCGAGGGTTCTCGACACTTTGGATAAATCCGACCACCTGCGTGTAACGGCGCTCATCTAGTGGTGGGGAGTTCCCTGCCACCGACGGGTGTTCTCGTCAGCCGTTGTACTCCTGCACTTCCACGGGGAAAGACCATCCTCCCGACGTAATACAGAACGCGTTATACGCGTTTATCGAAGACATCCGCGACCGCCATTACGACATCCGGACTCGCCATTGATACGGCGCGCTAAGTCCCGCGCCGGGGGATGATCCACATCCCTACCGCGACACTGATCGATAGCCGCCATCAATAAGTACGCGGCGAAGGACCGCCCACCGGGCCGACCGAAATTACCGCCCGATAGATAACGGCCTCGGCCGAATTCGCTGTCCGCGATCTATAATCGATATTCTATCGATCCGCCGAAATCGCGCACCGCGCAACGCATCCGTGCGTTGCATTGAATGCACCGCCCCGACACGACCGCACCACGATCCATTCAGCATTGTATACGCATGTATCTCATATCTAAATTCAACCGATTATAAGCATTTATACATCGCACACCGTCGTATCGCCGTACGGGCGACCGCGTCACGCACCTAGCGAATTACACCGACACGCCCTCACACGATTGTATCACTCGCTCATACCTAACGATCTTACCTACGATACGCTGCGCTCACCTAATCATTGTCATACGTTTTGCGCACTCACTCCCTCGTCACTCGTCTCGCACACATCATAATACATTCACACACCTATACACGCTTACACACATAACATACACACGCTGTACATATACACCACGACACGCAATAAATTATATTGTACCTAACATCACTTTCGTTCGTCTCTCGATACCCTTTCACGAGCCCCGGATCCCGACCGAGTTATCCGTCACCGCCTCGCGAAAGCGGCTTGTTACACATCTTCACTATTATCTATTATCAAATTATTATTAAAATTTACATTATATATGGCTTGAGGCTCGAGCGTTTCTTGTTCTGTTTGTAAATCAAACGGTAATAGAATATTCCTGCATCATATTTTAATTTTAGTAAAAAGTTCTTAATTTAATTTAATAGTGAAGTAAAAAAAGAAATTACCCATTATTATCAGAATTATTAAGAAGATCCAAATTTATAGATGATTGTTGAAAATCTGCAAAATATTAAACAAAAATTATAAGTTTTAAGTTGTCCAATAAAATCATCAGACAATCAAATTTATAGATAATACACTATATATTTCTTTTACCTTGCTGATTTAATTCATTTAAATTAAAATATAAAGCGTTTTGAGGATTCGTTAACACAGGTTCTATAGAATATTGATCTGAATTATTTGTTAGATTACGAATTAAATCATCAAAAGTAGATTCTGAGCATTCATAGTTAGTTGCTTCTGCATCTAAAATAATATAGTATAATATATAGTATTAATATATGTACTAATGTACTAATGTACTAATGTATAATAAATAATCAATTATTTTCAATATTGCTATATTTATATTATTATTGCTATATTTATATTTATATTATTGCTATATTTATATGTATACATATATATAATATATATGAATGTAATATAAATGATTTTTTGGCGATATATGTAATATTAATATTTTTTTTTTGTAAAATTGGAAATATTAAATTACTAAAAAAAAAAATTTAATAATTTGAAAATGAGTAAAAAAGCCAATTTTATTAAGAGCAAACAATTATTGGAAGTTTAATAAACATAATCTGGTAGAATAGAAAATAATTTAATAGAGTAATATTAATATTTAATACTGATATTATTGAAAATTTCAGATTTTTCGTCTACTTTACTATGTTTGATTTTGCATTTCTATTTTGATCTGATTTTTCTAGATTATGCCAGTCAAGAGATACTTAAAAGCGTGTTTATTAATTACAAAATAAAAATCAAATTGAAACAAGTTATTTTTAATAATATAATGTTTAAATAAAAATAAAGTATAAAAATAATGAAAAATATTCAGTAACATAAAAAAAAATTTTACCAGCATTATTCGAAATTTCCAGCGTATTTTTGTCTGTTATCTCAATATTATTTGCAGCATCATTCGAAATTTCCAGCGTATTTTTGTCTGTTATTTCAATGTTATTTGCAGCATTATTCGAAATTTCCAGCGTATTTTTGTCTGTTATTTCAATGTTATTTGCAGCATTATTCGAAATTTCCAGCGTATTTTTGTCTGTTATTTCAATGTTATTTGCAGCATTATTCGAAATTTCCAGCGTATTTTTGTCTGTTATTTCAATGTTATTTCCAGCATTATTCGAGATTTTCAGTGTATCTTTGTCTGTTGACTCATCAATGTTATTCGCAGTGTTAGATGTATTTCCTTTCTGTATGATATTTTGTTTTGGTAATTTGTTCGTATTGCACCTAGATGCTAAAAAATGCATGAATGTTATTGTCAATTAAAGTGCAAATATAAATAATATAAAGTGTGAAAGTAATGAAAAATATTCAGTCAAATCAAAGAAATATTTTTACCAGTATCATTCGAGATTTCCAGCATATCTTTGTCTGTTGACTCATCAATGTCATTCGCAGTGTTAGATGTATTTCCTTTTTGTATGATATTTTGTTTTGGTAATTTGTTCGTATTGCACCTAGATGCTAAAAAATGCATGAATGTTATTGTCAATTAAAGTGCAAATATAAATAATATAAAGTGTGAAAGTAATGAAAAATATTCAGTCAAATCAAAGAAATATTTTTACCAGTATCATTCGAGATTTCCAGCATATCTTTGTCTGTTGACTCATCAATGTTATTCGCAGTGTTAGATATACTTCTTTTTTGTATGATATTTTGTTTTGGTAATTTGTTCGTATTGCACTTAGATGCTAAAAAATGTATGAGTGTTATTGTTAATTGAAGTGCAAATATAAATAATATTTATTTATTTTATATTACCATTATGTTGTTTTATATTACCATTATATTCTCTAACCCGCTTTTTTGTTTTAATAGTCATCAAGTCTTTATTTAGAGTGCATAAATTTTCTTTATTTTCCAATAATGCAACTCTTTTTGATTTCTTTTTAATATTACTATCACAGACTATAAATATTATAAATAAAACAATAATAATAAGTTTTATCCCTTGCACTTCCAAATTCGTAAAAATATAGTTTTACTTACTGGATTGCTTTTTATGTTTCATGTTGTTTTCATTCTCAATTTTAACTTTAATGATTTCCAATTTTTCATAATTATCTAAAGGAGAAACATTAATAACAAATTAAATATAAACAGATATATTTATCTATAGTTTTTAGTCTAACAACGACCAAAATGGAATATTCTTTTAAATATACGAATATCAAAACTTTGACAGTGTTTTTTAATTGAATAGCAAAAAAATTATATTTTAATCTATTTTAGAATAATTCAAAAAAGTAACTTTTATATTATAAATTTAAAGTTACTTTTTAGACTAATAATAAGTAGACTTGTTATAAAAAAAAATTTAATCTGTATGTAATATTAAAATGTAAACTTATATTAGCATTAGGCATATTAATTTAAGTTTGATGCTATCAAACTAAAAATAGTTGAAATAAATAAAATAGTTCGTTGTAAAGATACTAAAAAATATGTACTATGTATACAATTTTAGCATACCTTTGTAGGCAATAACTTTGCCAGCATATCGTTTTCCATTTTTATATTTAATGCTGAAACCTTTTTTCCCTTTTGTTATATTTGCTTCTTTGCAGATATAATATACGTTATCAGGAAATAAAACCAAAGCAAACATATTATCTTTAACTCTAAAAATTGGAAACTAATTAAATTCAGTATAATATGTTTATTAATTAAAGTATCTTCTAAAAGAGTATAATAATATTTTAAGTATTAATATTGTAATATTAATACATTAATCAATTTAAACACTCACTTCAGAACAAGAATTTTCAATGAACAAGATTTTCCAATCTCAATATTAAAAAAATGAAGTTGATGAGATGATTGCGGAGATTTATTGTTATCACAGATACTAAATAATTATTGTATGTACGAAAAACTTTCCTGTATGAAAAACAAACATTCAACAACTAGACAATAATTTTGTATATAAAATAAAACTTAAGTTTGTTAATATAAAAACATAATTAAAACAAGTAGAGTTGTGCAAATTAAAAACTTGCACATTGCTTCCTCATCATTTTATCTTACAATGCTTAAGCTGCTTTAAGCAAATATTCTATACATGTAAAAAAATTTATTCCGATATCTCAAATTTTCTGAAAGTTACAGCGTGTACAGACATTTCTCAAAAAATTCAATATTTTATGAAAAATAAACCCTTTCATCGATACTTACCAAATTCAGTAGTAACTATCCTTTAATAATATTTTATCCATCTAAAAAGATTTAACCTGATATCTCAAAATTTGTGAAAGTTACAATGTATACAGCCATTGCTCAATAAATTAAAAATTTTATAAAAAATGAACCTTTTCATCGATTCTCACCAAATCCAATACCAACCATATTTGAATGATACTCTATCCATGTAAAAAAAATTAACCCGGCATCTGAAAAATTGCGGAAGTTAGAGGTTGTACAAGATATCGCGTACATACGTACGCACGCACGCACGCACGCACGCACGCACGCACGCACGCACGCACGCACGCAAAGCTTCCTCTATGAGGAAGCAAAAATATAATTATTAAAATTAAAATAAAAACAAGAAAATTAATAAATTATCTTATTTACTTAAACACTACATCTGTTTGTTAACCAGTGAAACTTACATATTAAATAAAATTTGAATGTAATACTGAACTAACAATAAGTACAATAAAACACTATAATATATAGTCAACAATTTAACTGCTCTCTGCAATTCTTATGTAGCGCGCGACAAAATAGTTTAAGTTTAAAATTCATTCAGAACACTGCAAAATAAATCCACAAATTATAATAAAAATTATTAAAAAGGAAAGATCATTAAAACTTTAAATAATAATTCTATTTAAATAAAAAATTATTTGTGCATACCAATTTTTGGCTATTACATAAAAATCCATTACATAAAAATCGAGCCCCACATTTTAAGATGCATCGCTAAAGCAAAATTTTGTATTCAGTTATATATATAGCATTATATGTATATCCGTAATATCTTTGCGTATTTTTCTTTATATCTTTATCTCAATATTAATTTTTCTAAAAGTCAGAGTTAGTAGTATAACAGAACATATATGTATTACTGAACAATATTTCTCTAAAGCTTAAACTTCTTAATGAAATTCAGAAAGATAATTTAGCAAATTTCAAATTTAATTCTTTTATCCTTGTATCTATAATATATTTGCATATTTTTCTTTACACAGTAATGTTTTGTAAAAAAGACCGTCAAAATTTTCAAGATAATTATAACTTATGATTATATATATCTAAAATAATGGTAAATATGCATATTAGGTTACACCTCACCGATGACTTTGACCTTGACATATGTTGTCAAGGACATAACCCTGAGTAACTTTTCCTTATAACTTAACCGGCGGTCTCTTATAGTTTCTGAGATATTTAAAGTTAACATTTGGATAATAATATAGAGACAGAGAGACAGTCCGCCCCACAATTGTTGCATGGATAAAAA